GATAGCGAAACCGAAGATTTAAGCTTAGGTAGTAGCTCAGATTCCGATTCCGAACTTTCAGGATTTGATCCTCTGTGAGTCTTCATAAATCTTTAAAATATCGCCAACTGTATCTACTACGATGTTAGTTTTCTGACCTTACTTTTCATTTGATTGTTTATTAATTGAAATTATTAACAATTAAAGATAGAATGAGTAGCAATCAATTTCAGTCTTATAGCTACATAGCGTTCAATACTTATTTTATGGAATAAACTGTTTTGGTTTCCTTATTTCTATGTTTATCTCATTTATATAAATAATCGCATAAATACTATTTTTAACCTTTCTTCGGTAGCGAACAGGTGTGGAAAAATAAAACTATTTCTATAAAACTAATATGTATTATGCAATTTTGAAAATATTGAAAAAGTAGTATATAAAACTTGTTTTTTTAGATATGAATCTTTAAATGCTTCTGGTGGACGTACAGTTGTAATTTAACATATCCTAATGATATAGATTCGTTAATTGTATATTATATACTCTCAAACCCAGTTTTATAATGCACATTGAACAAATTTTCTCTAAGAGTTATCGAGCCACATGAAATACTACAGTCAATAGTTAGCTTAAGATCGGGTGCTCGTGGAATTGATGATCTAACGCTGTCAATGATAGAACTTGGTCTTAATGTTAATGAAGTTACCAAATTCAGAATATAGGGCTCACAAAAAGATATTTAAAAATGTATCACATGCCAACAATTTCGATTAAAAAAAGCAGGCTTCTCATAATACGTATTCCATTATTGAAATTATTCGATTAATTCAGGACGTACCACTCGAGATCGAATAACACGTATTGTTCCGAATGCGTTCTCCCTCTCTCGAGTGCGCAATCCCAGCAAATCCTCATATCTCTTCCTACACTTGACGAGCTGTACATAGTACGCTCTGCATTTTTCTGAATGTTGCTCTTTATACATGTTTTGGAAACAGGACATAGAGTGAAACGAGAGGAACATAAAGAGGATAACAATTACAAAAGAAAGATAACAGAATCAGCTCATATACAATTGAACAACAATTGAAGGGACGGCCGGAACAACGTTGTATATAACATTTTTCTATAAAATGAGATTTACGTAAAACAACGTAGTATATGCCTATTGGGACCCGTTGACAACATAGACCCATCTGTTTACTGGCATCAATCACTGTGACGGGAATTTGTAAATCGCGCCATTTCAGTCCTCCGCGTAACAACGTTGTATGTACGTAAATAAATAACAATATCTATGGTTTATGAACCATTCCAGTGGGTCGATGTCATTGCTAAAGCCAAAGTTAAAAATCCCTTTAAAGTTGTCTGGATGCACCAAGCCTTCGAGAATTTAACAGCTTTGGAATATTGTATATGGGAATACCTCAAATTTAAAATCACACAAGGATTATGGCTGCAACTTACCGCTGATTCTCCAGCTACTTTGAGAATGAGAAAATCTCATAATATTATGCAGCTCTGGAATTCATTTCCCATCAGCAATCGTAAAAGAAAAGAAACAATGACTTTTACCACTGATATCATATCATCTGAAAAGTTACCTATAATGTATCACAACCTTCTTCCAATCAAAGATGAAAAATTAAAAAACCTTGAGGATATGAGTGATTATATTCCGCTTAAGTATGTAATATTTTATGAGAAATTAACTGCTACCCAGTAATACTTATTTAAGTTTCAGTTTTGGTTTCTAAACACGTTGATGAACTTAGAACGTACTTTTTTGTTATTAAAAATATGTTACTGTGTTCTTTGGTTCCCTTAATAAATAGAACTGCTGAAAATACTTGTTTTGCTTATAGTCATATAAGCCTCCCTGTAACAACGTTGTAAGTAACGTGATCATACAACCTTGTTACATGGTGTTTTCTATAAAAATGGTTCTAATTGCTGCAAAATAGGTGTCACATTTTTAAATTACAATAACCTTGTATAACTATTGTTCCTTTATTGTGCTGGCCAACTATAGACGCAGTCATTTGAAAAAAAATGGTTCAAATTTGTTTTTCTTAATTTCGGCCACTGAGCTTTTTTGTTACATACAACGTTGTTCCGGCCGACCCTTCAATTGTCTTTCTAGTTCTTCTGTGGACTAACGAATTGTATGCTGCGATATCTTACCAGATCAGCTATATAAAGAATTAAAAGGAGTGGCCCAAGCACTGTTCCTTGGGGCACTTTCGAGGATATTAGAGTTTCTGGTGTTCAGTTTATATTACTAACAACTTTTGAGATCTGTTTCTTATGAAGTTATTAATCGTACCAATTGAAGAGTGGGAAAAAACAATATTTAAATTTAGCTTATAAAACTGAATGATTTATAGTCTCAAATGCTTTGGTAGATTCTAAGAGGACTAAAGATTTTGACAAATTTTGATTCCATGCCTTTTCGATATTATCTGTTAAGTCTAATAACGCTTCTGTAGTATTTTACCCTTTCGTGAATCCGCATTGCTTAGCTGGCAGAATTTCAGAATATACAATAAAATCGTATCTGTATATACATCCAATCAGGAAACTGAATTTTGCGACAAGGTACATGTATCAATTAATGCACACATTGTGACAGTAATTGGTCTTAGATATCTATACACCGTTCATATTTATTACTATTTATGATACTCAGAATGTCTACTACTTGTAAAATAACATGTGCGTAGAAAACTGAAATGCATATCACTCCAAAAAAATTCTTTCCAGGCCCTATCGAAACCTTGATCCATATTCCTGATGTTAACTTTGACCTATTATTATTTGTACATCTTTGTTGCAACCTTTGTAACGCTCCGATTAGATTTTGCTTGTAAATGTTTATCATTAGCACAATTCAATTGGAGGATAAATATACTAAGTGACATATAAATCCGAACACCCAGTTTAAATGGTTTTATTTTAATAAAAGTTGGTAAATGTATTTATCTTACTGTAATAACAAGTGAAAAAATTTTCAGCCTTATCAGTTGGACATTCCGGTTTTTATACTGCTTTTTTTTAATTCACTAACGCTCTAAAAATGAATATTTCAGCCGCAGTAAAGAATCAACGTTGGCGGATTTTGGTTCTTGACATCCTTTACGATCGGTTACGATGCCTAGAGTACGGAGACCTGTACGATTTCGTCAACTTAGTGAGTTTGATAGGGGCCGTATAGTGGGACTTCGGGAAGCTGGACTTTCTTTTCGGGCAATTGCAGTTAGAGTGCAAAGAAGTGTCGACACTGTGGTTAGGTGTTGTCAGGCAAGGCTTCGAGAAGACCGTACGCAAAGAGCAAGGGGCACTGGACGCCGCCGTAGAACAACAGACCGTGAAGAGAGCCGCCTAAGATTATTGGCCTTAAGGGACCGTTTCTCCACTACCAGGTCCATTGCAAATGAATGGTTTGCAGATCACGGAAGACCTATTGGCATGCGAAGTGTTTACCGACGAATGAGAAGTTTTGGCTTGTTTTCATACCGGCCACACTGGGTCCTCCCTTTAACTCGAGAACACCGACGTAATCGCCTTGAGTGGTGCAGACAACGGTCACTCTGGGATCAGGAATGGAACAGTATTGTCTTTAGTGACGAGTCTCGATTTTGTTTAGGCATGCACGATGGTCGTGCCAGGGTTAGAAGACGACGTGGTGAAAGGAGGAATCCACAGTTTTTTGTTGAAAGACATGTTCATCACACTGTTGGAGTTATGGTTTGGGGTGCTATAGCTTATGGTTCCAGGTCACCTTTAATCTTCATCAGAGGTAACATGAATGCGCAGCGTTATATCCACGAAGTTCTAGAACCCCATCTTTTACCCTATCTTGACACCCTGGCAGATCCAACTTTCCAACAAGATAATGCCCGACCACATGTTGCAAGAGTCACAATAGACTTCTTTCAACATAATGATGTCACATTGTTACCATGGCCACCAAGATCTCCCGACTTATCCCCAATTGAGCACGTGTTGGATATGATGGGTAGGAGATTGCTCAATTTGCAACGTCCTCCTCAGACTCTAGATGCACTTCGAGAGGAGTTGGTGGTTGCCTGGAATGAGATACCACAGGAGGACATTGACCACCTGATCAGAAGCATGCCTAGGCGCGTTGGAGAATGCGTAGCACATCAGGGTGCATCCACACATTATTAAAGGTCAAAGGGCTTTAAAGCAGTGCAATCATTTTGAAATTTTTATCATTTACTTATTATGCTTCATTAAGTACTTATACAAAATTTTATTAAAATAAAATCATTTAAACTGGGTGTTCGGATTTATATGTCACTTAGTATATTTGACCATTCATAATTTTTCCAGTTGATCCAATTTTATTCGTCGTTGATTATGTTCTATTAACCTGGAGAAGCAAATACGCTTATACATTTGTATATAATTAGTGATAAAACAAAGATCAAAATGGACACACTATAGTGATACATGTGAAGAAAAGTATATTGTAAGTGAGATCCAGCGATCCAGAAAATCAAAATATCGACTAGAAAAGGAATTTAAGGAAAACTCTCTAAGTTTCAGAACAAAATAAAACAGCTTTCAGCCGATCTCAAGAATTCAGATTGGTGATCAATTAGTAGCTGTACAACTATTATTGAAAGATACAAAAATGAGAGTATGAATTAAATCGTCAAAAGACATAGAAGCACAAAAAGAACTCAAATCAAATATTGAGATAGTACAAAGGACTCGACTGTTTATCAAAACAATCTTTAGTTGCGTACAGATTTCTAAGAGTGGGAAAGCACTCTTCTGGACACGCTTCGATAGAAGAATAATTTAAAGCGATTATTTTTGGTGGAACCCAGCGTTTGCATGCTCATCATAGTAAGCCAAAGTATCTGGGCTGAAAATGCTTTGAGTCCGTTATTAATGGTGGAACAAATCAACACTAAGCAAATCCAAAGGCGCAACTATAGATTACCACTGCTTAAAGAAAGTTAACTCTAAAGCTGTTAGGACGCTGCATGAAAGTTATTCTTTGTTTTGGGGGGATGACGATATCTCAGTAAAAGCTTGTTGAGTGGATATACATTTGGTGCAATCGGACTTCTAATACATCGCCGTGTTCTACCCATCTCGCGCACAATTTCCTTACAAGACTCGGTAACACTACCAACGACTCGATCGATACTTGAAGTGTGTAGTAGTGCAGACAAGGAGGTGTAGTGTTGGTGGACTGGGTTCGAGGAAAACGAGATCGTGTTCAACATAGTGAAGATATTCGCGTCGAGGCAAGGGAAGTTGGCTCGCGACAGCCTGAACGTCGACAGGCAACAGGAGGGGGGGCAGCAACCGACACCAGTGGCGCCGGCGACCATAGCTGTGACGCCTGAGGGTGGCAACCAGGAGTGGAAGAGGTGAGTGATGTTGATTATCTATTTTTTGTTATGAGGTACCAAAAATAAGTTCTTTGGTTTCTCGCCACCAGGTCGTTTCTTGAATTCTATAAAGAGTTTGTTTCAAATTATCAAATTGAAATGAAAACGAACACGAAAGGGGTGTCCGCAAAGTTAGGGTTTTCCTTTACATGACGTGTAGATCTTGAAAACATAAGCAATTTTTCTTAGAACCGTATACACCAATGTCTTAAGGGAACCGAGATAAAGGGGTCTGCAACATCAAAAATATCTGAATACCGTCCTGTAGCCGCGACCCGCGACATAACCGAGTGATACAAGGTCACTGGCTCAACCCGACGACAGAACTGGGTCGGGGTCAGCGTGTCAGGTCAGTATGCAGCCTTCAACGGACGGTTACGGTCACGCGCGTAGAGGTAAACGAACCCGTATAATCGATTGCGTTTCAAAAAACAACAAGCACTAGAGACGTGGCTAGAGAAGTGCAAGTATCAAAAACTAAAGTGTGGCAAACGCTGCGTGAAGAGGGGCTGTATCCGTTTCACGTCCAACGTGTACAAGCCCTTCAACCTGACGATTTTCCAGCAAGAGTGCTGTTTTGTGAGTGGTTGTTGCATCAACATGACAATAATCCGGACTTTTTGAAGTGCATATTGGTGACAGACGAATCTACATTCGCGCGTAATGGGGTGAATAGCTTTCGCAACACTCATGTTTGGTCAGTAGAAAATCCTCACGCTGTCCGTCGGGCACATTTTCAACAAACATTTTCGGTGAATGTTTGGGCTGGCATGGTGAACGGTATGCTTATTGGACCATTTATTCTCCCAAATCGATTGGACGGGATGCAATACCTAGACTTTTTACGCAACATTTTGCCTTCCTTGTTAGAAGATGTGCCATTAAGTGTAAGACAATCAATGTGGTTTCTGCACGATGGTGCACCGCCCCATTTTAGACGCGAAGTGCGTGAGTTTTTGAATGAATTATTTCCAAATAGGTGGATCGGACGTAATGAACCCTTAGCGTGGCCTACGCGATCTCCAGACTTAACACCATGTGATTTTTTTCTTTGGGGAGAAATGAAACGCTTAGTGTACAAAACTGAAGTGCATACGGTTGACGAACTTCGTCTCAGAATTGAACAAGCTGGTGCTTTCATTCGGAGGAGGGACTCCATTCTCAAAGCCTGCACCGATGCTTGGCTACGTCGTGCACGCACCTGTGTTTTTGAATCAAACGGCGATAACTTCGAACAATACCTATAAAGTACGTTTACCTAAAAACTGAAAACGCGGCAACTCCGTCATATTTGTTACCTCTGTTCGTGGTCTGCACCACCGCCTGCGTCTGCTCGGTAGCGCATCAGCTGATTTCATTTTCTGTTGGAGCGGTATGATTTCGGGCAGAGACGTACTTAGCCCTTCTCGTCAACTGGAGAGTGAGTACTTTTTCCTTTATTTTTTTTTTACTTGGTCGCCCTCGTTTCACTACACATTACCTTTGTTATTTCAAGGGTAGTTGTTTCTGAAAAGAACAACCCCAACTTTGCGGACACCCTGTATATTAAGTATAAACATCATTTTTTGCAAGGTTCTAATCTTTAATAAAATATATCAAAGCAGTTTCGTCCATCAACTGTCAAGATGGAAGCAAGCATACTATTATAAAGTTTATTTTGATCCAATTGAATTTTTTAGATGACGAATATTATTTATGCTATCCTAGCTAGAGGAATTAAGAAATATCTTTATTCACGAAGCAATAAGCATTACCAAACAGAATATGTCTGCAGATATTATAATTAAATGAACCAAACTGATTCTGCGAGAACCAAGAAACTTTTCTCACTCCGCTTGTGAGCACGTTGTGTCACAAAATATGCGTCTGCCTCCCTAACACGTGTAGAATATATAAAAATACCTTTAAAAAATATTCAGAGAGTCAACTTTATAGACTTCTAAACGACTATACTGAAGTTTTTTTAAACTTCGTAACGACACTATTTAGGGCGCCATAGATTGTTGGCCGGAAAAATTAAGGGTAATGTGAAAATATGGATATTTCTTATAGACATGGTTCGTAAAATTTCTCGTTTCAATGATACTGGGTGTTTCAAGTTTATATTTAGCTAATAGTTACACGGTGCTGCTTTTTGCAATAAGTGTCGTTTTTACTTCCCACGCCTACTGCAGAGGATGTACTAGAATCGCGAACAGTTTCGAAAATGGGATATGTTTTTGAATGGTATATATATTACATACATACGAGTACATCGTATACATGACACTCATTTCCGTCTCTCTGTCCGCTAATCCTTGGTCCGTCTTTAACTTGGAAAGAACCGCTTGTAATGAGTTAAAATTTTCACATAAAATTGCTACTGTTCCAAGGACGACATGGCTTTGTAGTTGTATTCAAAGAAAATACTCAAAGTTTGATTTTTGTTGTGTCAGTGGATCCCGATCATTTCCAATAAAATTCTTGTAGGGATTAAAATTGGGGATTGGGAATTGTAGGGGGTGGGGAGGATCTATCTAAATTTGAATTAAACTCGGAATATATCAGTCCTAATATCGATAAATGGCTTCCGAGAAAAGAACAAAAAATCAATACTGGCTTGTATAAACTATATTTATTAATAAAGGAACTAAAAATTTAGTTATGAAAATTAATTTCAAGAAATAATATATGCTTAACTGCTTGTGGAACTTGTGGAAATTGCCTTGGCAGTCAGCGTTAATGACGTTTAACAAACTGATGTTCAAGTTAATAAAATGAGTTTTTTCCAAAAAGTAACGATCTCTTTTGTATCCTTTGATAGCAAAGCGTTTACTAAAACTGGTTTCAATTTCCCAATATTAAACATATTATGGAAACGAAGCATTTCATTGAACTATTTTTCATATTTGAACGTGCTGATTCTAGCATTCATATTAAATTTTTGGCTACATTTTTACACCCTATTCAGTAATGATAAATATTCTCGCAAAGGCTTGGTCCTTTGATTGGAAACGTAAACTTTTGTTTGACATCAATAGAACGAGCCGTTTTTATGAGACAGACCCTTTTCATCTTCATACTTCATTTAAGCAGGCTGTCCGAGTCGCTGATGACTATATTTTCAAAATGATCAGATCAATATGGTGAATCAAGTATGTCGGACAAAATACTGAATATTTAATGCTGTTGTTTTTAAAAGACTGCTCATTTTAATCGATGTCGAACAAGACTGCTTCCTTAGCTTAACGATCAGGAGAATATCATCTTCAGGCATTCTGTACCCGGTGTTTCAATTTCGGCGCTCACTGTTGTGGTGTCGGAAACGGTAAGAGATACGAAGTAACGGGGTTAAAGTTGCGCGTTTAGGTAACAGTGAAAACTAGATACTAAGAGCTAATATTATCTTTTCCTGGCTTTATTTGAGTTGGGATTTTAAATAACTTGCACATTAACATCGACACTTTTTGCTTTCTACAACGTAGCATAATTAGAATTTGAACTTACCGTTTCTTCTCTTGTCCCCAATCATCAACTTAATTTTAACTCACAACCGTCATATCAGATTTGTACACCAGTAAATAGAGAGTTTATATATGTACTATTTCATACATTACAACTATAATGATGATGAGCAGATCTTAAAATGTCTCAAGAAGTAATCTTCCTAACTTCAGAACTCATCGAATACTATTTAGGGGTAGGTAGGAAGATTTAATAATTTTAGAAAATTGATAAAAAAATTAGTACAAGTAAAAGTTTCGACGGTCTTGTAGGTTCTTAAACAAATTTCATGTCCGTCATATCTAAACAGATGTACACATCTTCCATTTAAATAATAATACTGAGTCTGAGAAAGGAACTGTGCAAATAACTGTTGTTATAGTTTACAGGGTGACGGGAAAATAGATGCGGAGCCGGTGGGGGGAAATAGTACAAGCCAATCTGAATCGATTTTACTATAGGAACTACTGTCCGAAAATTAGCCGTTTTCGAATTATACTAGTTTTTTAAGATTTTATAAAATTAACGTTCTTTATACCTTAACCAAGTCATAAAACTTGAAAATTGTATGTTTCATTTTAGATTTTTTTAACAAAAATCGAACTATTTTGAAGCTTACTGCATGAGATAACGTCAATAACAAGTGACATATAAATCCGAACACCCAGTTTAAATGGTTTTATTTTAATACAATTTTGTATAAGTACTTAATGAAGCATAATAAGTAAATGATAAAAATTTCAAAATGATTGCACTGCTTTAAAGCCCTTTGACCTTTAATAATGTGTGGATGCACCCTGATGTGCTACGCATTCTCCAACAGGCCTAGGCATGCTTCTGATCAGGTGGTCAATGTCCTCCTGTGGTATCTCATTCCAGGCAACCATCAACTCCTCTCGAAGTGCTTCTAGAGTCTGAGGAGGACGTTGCAAATTGAGCAAGCTCCTACCCATCATATCCCACACGTGCTCAATTGGGGATAAGTCGGGAGATCTTGGTGGCCATGGTAACAATGCGACATCATTATGTTGAAAGAAGTCTATTGTGACTCTTGCAACATGTGGTCGGGCATTATCTTGTTGGAAAGTTGGACCTGCCAGGGTGTCAAGATAGGGTAAAAGATGGGGTTCTAGAACTTCGTGGATATAACGCTGCGCGTTCATGTTACCTCTGATGAAGATGAAAGGTGACCTGGAACCATAAGCTATAGCACCCCAAACCATAACTCCAACAGTGTGATGAACATGTCTTTCAACAAAAAACTGTGGATTCCTCCTTTCACCACGTCGCCTTGTAACCCTGGCACGACCATCGTGCATGCCTAAACAAAATCGAGACTCGTCACTAAAGACAATACTGTTCCATTCCTGATCCCAGAGTGACCGTTGTCTGCACCACTCAAGGCGATTACGTCGGTGTTCTCGAGTTAAAGGGAGGACCCAGTGTGGCCGGTATGAAAACAAGACAAAACTTCTCATTCGTCAGTAAACACTTCGCATGCCAATAGGTCTTCCGTGTTCTGCAAACCATTCATTTGCAATGGACCTGGTAGTGGAGAAACGGTCCCTTAAGGCCAATAATCTTAGGCGGCGATCTTCACGGTCTGTTGTTCTACGGCGGCGTCCAGTGCCCCTTGCTCTTTGCGTACGGCCTTCTCAAGGCCATGCCTGACAACACCTAACCACAGTGTCTACACTTCTTTGCACTCTAACTGCAATTGCCCGAAAAGAAAGCCCAGCTTCCCGAAGTCCCACTATACGGCCCCTATCAAACTCACTAAGTTGACGAAATCGTACAGGTCTCCGTACTCTAGGCATCGTAACCGATCGTAAAGGATGTCAAGAACCAAAATCTGCCAACTTTGATTCTTTACTGCGGCTGAAATATTCATTTTTAGATCGTTAGTGAATTAAAAAAAAAGCAGTATAAAAACCGGAATGTCCAACTGATAAGGCTGAAAATTTTTTCACTTGTTATTTACAGTAAGATAAATGCATTCACCAACTTTTATTAAAATAAAACCATTTAAACTGGGTGTTCGGATTTATATGTCACTTGCAGTATACATTTGAGTATCAATTTTCATATTTTAGAATATATTTATTGTAAAACGAAACAAAAATCAAATCAAACACCCAATTTTCAAGTTTTATGACTTGGTCAACGTATAAAGGACGTTAATTTTATGTAATCTTAAAAATTAGTATAATTCGAAAACGGCTAATTTTCGGACAATAGTCCCTATAGTAAAATCGACTCAGATTGGCTTGTACTATCTCCCCCCCACAGGTTCCGCATCTATTTTCCCGTCACCCTGTATAAAAGGACTAATTATCTGTCCTTTAATCATTCATAAACTGTCATTTTCAAGCCCAACCATTGACAATATCAAAGAAAATTTGAAACTCTATTCACTTGTGTAAAAATCCAATATGGCGTCCATAATAAAAGATTATGATTAAGGGCAAAATTGAAAACGCAATATTGGCATTCTAAATATCCCACATTGTAGAGGAGATATTGAAACGATGTTAATGTGCAATCTATTTTTAAATTCCACCAGGGCACTATAACACAAACTCTACAAGTTGTATAATTGTAAAAACTCGCTCTACACTTTTAACTATTTCGTATCACAACACCACTTGTAGATACATGTGCGGAGCCAGTATTCACAGGAGAAAAATTGCAATTCTGTATTTTGTAATAAAACGTCCACACTGATTGAGTGACAGAATTTCCTGCAATTGTAGTTAATATTTTACTTGTTTAGATCTCTGTGTTGGTAATGACTGACAAATAGTAACTTCACTGTTGTGAAGACACCTATTACGTATATGTCCTTCTTTTCTAATTTATCAGAAATCAAAAAGGTGGTGTTTGTTTCCTTTAGTTTTTTTTCAAAAATACATCTTACGTCCAAAAACAATGTGTTGCTGTCATCTTTCGTTTTACGCCTTATAGCCAAGGTAGATAAACCTATGACTTCGCCGACACATTACGGTCCTAAATCACAAAATATTTCCAAAATATTTGTTTATCAGAATTGTATTATACACTTGTAGCTACAATTGTAATAGATCACTCAATTCTTCCACTTGTAATTACAAGTGTAGTTATTTGCGTTATGTTACTTGTAATGTATTAAAGACCCCCGAAATGAAATCAGGAACACATAAAAATGATATAGCGAAAAATATTATTATCTACCTCTGGAAATACTTTGCATTGCAAAGAGTTGTAATTTTTTTAGGTATCTGAATGCACAACTCTACCCACATTGAACCGATTCCGTATCTCTTACCGCCTCTGAAATCCCAATGGTGAGGGCGTTCTATGTATATCATTATACATATGTGAAGTTTCAGTTGGTTATTATAACCTAAAAACTGTATCAAATTATATAGTATCGTGTCAACAGTCATCTGAGAACATCCAGTTTCAAGTATACCGCAACAGTTCCTGAGTACCATTATTTGCAGGTTTGTCGGGTCGATCCGACGAAAGGTCCAGCGGCATGCTTCAGGTGGTTCCTCGTCATCTCCCTCCACTTCCGTCATTGTTGACTCCGCCCACTCAGCGACTCCTTCCACGTCCGCCCAACAACCCACGAGCCAATCGCTCGCTAGAAAAAATTCCTTGACCATGTTCCGGAGGGAGAAAAGCCAGGACAGAAAACAGCCCGTCCAGAAGCAAAAGTCTATCGGCTCTGAGGGCAAAGATCTACTTAAAGCGTTCAGCTTCAGGGATAAACCGAAGGGATGTAAAGAGGCGGAGCCAAAAAAGAAGGCCCCGCCTTCTAAGGGCGGGACAACGAGTGGGCGGGGCAAGGGAAGGGAGGGACTGAAGCAGGACGATTTTCTGAAGGCGACGATGAGGATTTTTCTGGTGGTATCGCCTCCTGCTGGAAAACTACAGGTAAAGTTGTTGTACAAGAGCCAGTAAATGTGTAAATTATTGTTTTCCTTTAGTTCATCCTGCTCTCCTCACGAATCATTTCTTACCCGTTATATGTACAATTTGCACGGCTGTCGCTTGTAGGCATAGGTGATATAAAATATATAGAATGCTCAACTTCAGATGCCTTTCTCTATACCTGCACGTATACCTAAGTCATTGATCCAATGTGTTGATTATGCTAGAAGATGTGCATCAGATAATGCTTCATTAAAGGTTATCGCAAAATTTGGTAAATTCTAACTGGCGCGCAGTGAAAGTATACAGGGTGTTTCATATTCCGTTAGAATTTCTGAATCAGCAAGAGATACGAATGTCATTTAGAAACTCTCAAAATTCAAAGTACTTCCTGAAAGAAACGTAAAAAACGGTTTTAATCTTTCCTGACTTTATTTCTATTGGGATTTTAAGATAAATTGCACATGAACTTTGCCACTTTTCCTCCATTACAAGACGACATAATTTGAATTTCGATATATCGTTTCGTCTCTCGTCCTCCAGCATCAATTTTAATTATTCTTGTTGACGTCATATTGGATTTTGCACGGATGAATATAGTTTTTAATTCTGATTCTAAAAATGTGTAATACGTCATACATTGACATTGCCAAACCTTAATTATTTAAAAAAATGCAGAATTTCCGAGATAGGCCTTGAACTTATCAGATAGTAGTTTTTGCGTATACCAGATTTATCGCAAAAGCATTTTTTATTTTTCCTGACTTTACTTGAGATGGGATAACATGTCGTGATTGTCACCTTCTCTCCTACAAGATGGCGTAGTCAAATTGTCAATTCGACGTTTCTTCTTTCGACTTCCATCACAAACTTTATTTTTTTTTCGTATGGATGCCATACTGGAATTCTGTACATTTAAATTTCCAGTTCTAAATTCAGTAATACAGGGTGTTTCAGTTTATTGTTGCATAACTTTACGATTCGATAGAACTTTTAAAATTAATGCATAAAGTCTATATAAACATGGGTCGAAAAATGGGTGGCTTTCGAAATACAGGGTGTTTAAATTTACTTTCTAAAATAGCTTTTTTTTAAATATTTCGAACAATATTTGATGTATAACAGTGAAAATTGGTATACAAGGGTTTTTTGGTACGACAAAACGAACCATGGGCATAGTTTTACCTTAGCCGCTAGAGGGCGCTCTCTACTGCACCTGTAGTGTATTAAAATGACCGAAAAATTTTTCTTAGTGCAATCTTTTGCTTTTTAAATAACAAAACTGATTCTTCGCACTTTTCAACATAAAAAAGCTCTCTTGTGAATTTTCGTTGTAGTTAGCCGTTTTTGAGATATGTCGATTTTTAAGATTCGATGCATTTTTAATTATTTATGATAAAATAACGTTAAAAGGTCAGTATCTCGATAATTTTTAGAATTAGGCTGTGCCTGCAAATATTTTTGAAATTGAAAGCAGAATAAGGTTAAACGTCAATTAGTTGACAGTTAGTTTTGTTGTCTGTTGAAACCTGAAACGTTTTTTTGCAATTATGAATGCACGAAATTTAGTTTCTTCTACCTGTTTTTTTTTTGTAAGTTTCCATTTTGTGTATGGCTTTGTAAATGGAAACGCAGCAGAAGCAGCCAGAGAATACGCACGAAGATTTCCAAACAGACGACATCCAACTCGCTTTTAAGTAACGTTTTATGGACCGATGAGTGATGCTTCACTAGACGTGGAGTGGTACATTTTCATATCAACATATCAGCATGAATTTAGTGTGAACGTGTGGATTGGTATCTACCGTAATCGACTATTTGGACCCTACCTTTTGCCTGCAAGGTTAAATGCTGCCACCTTCTTCAAATTTTTAAAGGCTGAACATGCAAATATGTGGGATGATGTTATGTTAGATTTAAGAAGATTGGCCTGGTTCCAGCTTGATGGTTGTCCAGCTGATTATTCGAGAATAGTTAGAAACTGGCTGGACGAAAATTATCCAGAAAGATGGATAGGCCGTGGAGGACCAGTCGCCTGGCCTCCAGGTTCCCCTGACCTAAATCCATTAGATTTCTTTGTGTGGGGATTTCTAAAAGAAAAAGGGTACCAGACTCCCGTAACCACAAGAGATATGCTAATAGACAGAATCAGGAATGTATGTGATGAAATAAGGCCTTATTTGAATAATGCTATACCACGTTCGATCATTCGTAGATGTGAATTGTGTATTGAACAATTGGGTTTACATTTCGAGCAACTACTTTAGATTTTGTATGTTTGTCCTAACTATTCAATAGCATTTTAGTTGTAAATAATTAATTTAATTTGTTAAAAATAATATTGGAAAATTATACAAATTAATATTCTGTTTTTTGTGTTTATTTGGAGTTAGGAATTATTGCTGTGTTTAAAAACACAATCTAAACGATAATCTTAATTACTTCTAATGTCCAAATCGAAAATGTAGAAAAATATTATTTTCCCATAAATAATTAAAGATGCATCGAACCTTAAAAATCGAAATATCTCAAAAACGGCTAACTATAACGAAAACTCACAGAAGAGCCTTTTTATGTAGAAAAGTGCGAAGAATCAGTTTTTTTGTTCAAAAAGCAAAAAATCGCACTAAGAAAAAATTTTCGGTCATTTTAATACACTACAGGTACAGTAGAGAGCGCCCTATAGAGGCTACAGTAAAACTACCTAACCATGGTTCATTTTGTCGTACTAAAAAACCATTGTATACCAATTTTCACTGTTATACATCAAATATTGTTCGAAATATATAAAAAAACTATTAGGAAGTAAATTTAAACACCCTGTATTTCGGAATCCACGCATTTTTCGACCCATGTTTATATAGACTTTATGCATTAATTTTAAAAGTTCTATCGAATCTTAAAGTTATGCAACAATAAACTGAAACACCCTGTATATTTATTACCTTAGATGGCCGTGAATTTGTTGTTGGAACGAAATTTACAAAGAAATAAAAAGGTGAGGTGAAACCTGAACACAAAATGAAAGTCTTATTGATGGTAGTAACAATAATGGTCATAAGTATGCAGGCATATTGTTCGTAAATTTTTAGACAAGGCCTGACTCTTATCTGTATTTACATCATTGCTCAATTTATTTCCCTTTTTCTCGGTGTTCCAAACTATGTTCATTTTAAAGTCTGGTCTGGTATGCGAATCATATGATTATCTGATAATTTCAAAGCCTACCTTTTTTTTCTAAAATAACTGAGGTTTGACAATGTCAATGAACGACATATACATTTTTGAAATCATAATAATAAAAATCTACTCATCTGTGTTCGTTTTGAAATTCGACTACAAATAAAGCGATTTTGGGAAAATTCGTTTTTTTTTCTCTCCAGAAGTGGTTTGAATTTCGAAACATTCTAAGCAGCATTGAGTTATTTACATAAAAAAGCAACTTTGCTCCTGTTTAAGCGACTCTCTTACCGTTTCCGTAATCCCAATGTTGAGAGTCGAATTTGAAACACCCGGTATATTAAACTTAATAAACAGTTTTAGAACAAACTGCAAGCAACATATATGCTGCTGGTTTCTAAGGATATCAAATTAATGCTTTTTTATTATGTTGTGTGCCCATTAGTTAGAAAAACTTTTAGCATATACATTTTCTTCATAGATTTCAGGATAAAGATATATATTTTATACACCCTGCGTGTTTCATAAATCTTAAATTCCTACAGTTTTATTTCCACCCTAATAATAGTCATATTCTACCTTTTTTCACAACGACCCCAGGTACAAAAATAGTAGCTATAGTCCAAGCAATATATGGGGATTGACATATTTTCAAAGTAAGGAGAATATGGTTGCATACCCAAATAGACCCTGCAAGTCATTCATAAGTCCCCGTTTGTTACGTTCGCGAACCTCAGTGGCGGAAAATACTAACTTTCATTCATAATTTTATGAAATTGGCCCCAAGCTTGGAACAGCACGACGCTCAAGGTCAACTACGGAATTCCCACCGCAGGCGTATCACAATGTGGGCCATAAAGGGCTATAAAAGCCAATAAAGTTCTCAGTATATTGGAGGTACAAAAAACGTCTTTCTTGAGGGTATACAATTATTAACGTAACCGTACGTCCCACTTTCGGACATGAAAGTGTCCCTTTTCGGTTGTGGTGTCTCCAACAAAAAGTATGGGGACGAAAAATATCCTACTTTTTCCAAACCATTCGGAATACGTAAAATTTTCGAACGACATTGTTAGCAACCCCCCTTCCCTCCCCCCGATCTTCAAACTTCTAATCGTCGGCCATCAATGCAAAAAATGAAGTGTGTTTACGCATTGTGCTTTCGTTTTATGATTGTAAATAAAAATAGCAAAATGTGAGCCTTTTGTGGTAGGTACTATAGTGTATTTACACCCAAGATAGAATGGATGCGTGATGGCCAAAAGCAAGGACGGCGTACAGGGCCGCATTCAGGGCTACCTCCGAATGATGGACTATCACCAACGTGTTGTAAAATAAAGATGACCGTATTTAACAGAAACAGAAACTTAACAAATTACTCAAATACACTTAACAACAACAACAGCAACAACCAAGCAAGGTGAATAAGAAAACACGAGCACGCAGTGATACACGCGACGGACGGAGCCCTGAGTGCAACTCTGCCTGCCCTGCCCCTGCCCCGCGCATTATTCCGCCAGGCGACCGCTTGAAATTTAATGGCGAATTGACCAATAGGAGGCGTTGTCCCCACCTGTTATCGAGAGATCACGCGCTAACTGTTATTATTTACATCTCATCTTGAATTTGGATTCAGTTTAGACCCCAATATAGAAGTAATAAAACAGTAAATACCTACTTAAGAAAATGTTTATTTGATGGTTTACATATTTTATATGGAGATCAATCAATACAAATAAAATTTTCTTGACATTCTCATAGGAAATGAGTCGGCAAAAAATATACCCACTTTCTCAAGCTCCCCTGCCCCTCACCCCGCGCTCTTCAACATTTAATCCGGAGAATTGTTC